TGGTTAAGAGCTCGCTCAAGAGTTTGAGCTCTGAGCAACAGCGGTTCGAGTCAGCCCGAGCTGAGCAGCCGCTGAGCTGCCAACAGGTGGCAGGATGGTTCAGCTAAAAAAAAATTAAAAAAAAAATAAATAAAATGATAACGTCTTCCGATTCTCCCCATCCTTTATTACTTACCCTGTTTCTTGTCTGTGGCCCTCACCAGGGTGTTCCCCTCCAGGAGAACATGGATTTTTGTCTGTTGTGTTCACTGCCATGTCCCATGGCATGCAGTAGGTGCTCAATAAATGTAGAATGGGTGCAGCTTGACCAGGGAAAGCCTCTTTGGAAGGTGATGTTTGAGATCAACCCCCTAAGAAAGATGCAGTGTAGGGACGAGCTGAGAGAATAGTATTCCAGGCAGTGGGAACAGCAAGTACAAAGGCTATGAGACTGACTCGTTTGCTCAGTTGTTTTTTCCAATGTTTGTTGAATGAGTACATGTCTGTCACTGCTGCAGGTATTCGTGGACACTGTGGGGCTACCAGAGACATATCAGAAGCGGCTGCAGCAGTGCTTTCCCAACATTGAGGTGACGGTCAAGGCCAAGGCAGATGCCCTCTACCCCGTGGTCAGTGCTGCCAGCATCTGTGCCAAGGTCAGCCCCTTGCTGTCCATGTCTGGCTCCCAGCATTCCTCTGGGTAAGGAGCAGGTGTGACTGCCTTGAGAGAGGGAGATCCTAAGTGCATGTCTTTCCCACAGGTGGCCCGCGACCAGGTCGTGAAGAACTGGCAGTTTGTGGAAAAGCTGCAGGACCTGGACATCGATTATGGCTCAGGCTACCCCAATGGTGAGCAGATGGCAGTAGGCTCTGCTTTGGGAGCTGTCCTGAGACAGCGATAACACTGATAACACTGATAGGGCAGGCCTGAGAGTTGTTCTGCTCAGCTCACTTCACAGCAGAAGAGGCTGAGGCCCAGACTAGAGGCCACTTGTTCATGGCTATTGTGTGGTAGAGCCGTATTACAGCTGGCAGGCTCCCTTCCTCTCTGTTGTCTCTCTGGAGCCCCAGTGAGGGACTGAGACCCATGGTGGGCATCTGGCCATTTGTTAAAGGGAAAGGGGCAGGGTGAGGGGCTCCAGCTCATGTCTACTGGCCACAGCTTAAATCCGTCGTTTTCTCCCCATTATGAGGCTCAGTTTCCTTATCTGAAGTGGAGATGATTGTGCCCTCCTGACACACACGAGGGCAGATTTGAAGATTCAGTGACTGGGTTCCTTGAGTGACTGGTCCTTCTGAGGCCCAGGAAGGGACGTGCACGTGGGTGGGGTAACACAGTAAGTCTGTGATTAGAACTTAGGTGAAACCAAAGTGAGGAAACCAGGTCCAGGCCAAAAATAGTTTGAGCAACATTCAGTGTTTACTGAGTACCTGGTACACGCCATGAAGGGCCAAGCCCTGAGGATATAGCTGTGAGCAAGACAAACAAGGACCTTTCTGTCCCTACTGAGCTTATGGTTACATGGGGGAGATGGGCGTTACCCTGATGGTCCAAAATGCTGGTTTAATGACTGTTGTTCTTGGTGGGCAAGGGAGATGGCCTCAGAGGCAGTCTCTCTAAACTGCACCTTGAGCAACTGTTGGCCAGGTGAAGAGCCTCGAGGGGGGAACTGCCTGTGCAAGGTCCTGAGGCAAGAAGATGTCTTAAACAGTAGGAGGTGCCTCAGGTACTCAGGAGGAGGCCTAAGATGACGTGATTGGGTCTCAGATGCCGGTGAGGACCTGGGACTTGATGGCAGGGCTCAGGGGCCATCACCTTTGCTTACCCTACCCTTTCCCTAGATCCCAAGACAAAAGCGTGGTTGAGAAAGCATGTGGAGCCCATCTTTGGCTTTCCTCAGTTTGTCCGGTTCAGTTGGCGCACGGCCCAGAGCATCTTGGAGAAGGAGGCGGAAGTCGTTACTTGGTGGGTGTCCTGCAGGTGCTGAGGAAGGAGGGAGGGAGGCCAGGACTCAGCCCACCCTGAGAGAGCTGCCAGCTTCCCCTGCCCCAAGATGGTCAGTGACACCACCTCTTACCCACAGGGAGGACTCGCCGACAGAGGATCAGGCAGGACTTGGGAGGATCACATCCTACTTCAATGAAGGCCCCCGAACCCGCCCCCACCTCTACCACCGGTACTTCCAAGAGCGGGGCCTGGAGCCAGCCACCACTCTCTAGGAGCCGGCCTGTACCCCCTTTACCTGCCTCTCCCCCCACCCCACAGATTGTGATTAAAATTACGTAAGGAAAGCCAAGTGTGGGGTTTGTACTTGGGGTTGAGCGGGTAAGGGTGTGCACTGTGGCTGGACCTAGCTACTGGTTTTTGCATCCTAAACAAGGGCACTGGTTGATTGATTTTATTTTAAAATATATATTTGTATGATACCGAATTAGGAAGGAACACACTGAGAAGCACTCTGCTTCCAGCTCACTGATGGGCTTACCCAGGTATCTCAGTCTGTTTGGGCTGCAGTAACAAAATATCACAGACAGCGTGGCTTATAAATAACAGACATTTACAGTAAAACCTTGGATTGCGAGTAACGTGGTTTGCGAGTGTTCTGCAAGACAAGCAAACATTTCTAATACGTTTTAACATGGTAAATGAACAATGTCTTGCAATATGAGTAGTTTGTTTCTGGAACGAATTATGCTTGCAAACCAAGGTACAGTAAGTCCTCGACTTACAAACATTCGAGTTGCGAACTTTCACAGATACGAATGTACCTGGCTTTAGGAACATTCGTAAATGCGAACAAATCGCAGAAGTAGCTCACGTGTCTGCTGGATATTGTCACAGTTGTGCTGCTGTGTGCTTACTGTACAGTGCGATAGTGTACAGTAGTACAGTGCTCAATCAGAGCCCAGGATGTCCGGAAGCAAGAAGAAAAGCACTGGTGATGTGGAGGGGACTGCTAGGAAGTGTCAAAGGTATATAAGACTCTGTTGGACTTACGAACAATTCCGACTTTCTCCCAGAATGGAACTCATTTGTAAGTCGGGGACTTACTGGATTACTATATTACAGTTCTGATGACTAAAAGTCCAAGGTCAGGCTGACAGCATGGTCATGCTCTGGTGAGGGTTCTCTTCTGGGTCACAGATTGCCGACTTCTCACTGTGTCTTCACATAATGGAAGGGGTGAGGGATCTCTGTGGGGTCCCTTTTATAAGGGCACTAATCACATTCTTGAGGGCTCCAGACTCATGACCTTATGACCTCCCAAAGGCCCCGCCTCCTGCTATCATCTTTGGGGGTTAGGAATTCAACATAAGAATTTTAGGGAGACAGACATTCAGACCATAGCAGGTGCCTTCTAGGTCCTTCCAGAGATAGCTCATGTTACAAACATATGCACAGATACATTCTTTTCTAAAGTTTCTTCTTTTACACAAATGGAAGCAAACTATACCCTAGATAGTGTACATTACTCTTTGAGCCACATAATATCTTGAAGGTAATTCCAAATGGGTATCTAAAGACTCCTCATTCCTTTTATAGCTGAAGAGTCCTCCGTGGCATGACTGTCCCGTAGTTTATTTAATGCCTTTGAATACATGCTGAGCTGTCGCTCAACTTGCTATTAGTATTAAACCTGTACAACAGGGAATAACCAGGATGTGCCATAGTATCTTGTGCACAGCTTTCTAGGATAAATTCCCAGAGTTGGGCTTGCTGGGTTAGAGAAAATATGTGTTTGTAATTTGGAGAGAGATATTTTGAAATTCCCTTCCGTGGAGGCTTGTACCCAATGGCACCCCTGCCAGCCATGTAAGTGAACAGTAAGAACACTTGTTTCCCCCACAACCTTGACAGCAGCAGGACAGATTTATCTCATCCCATTGAAGTTTGGAAGTCAGGTGGTTAAAGAACTTAAAAAACACTTTTTTCTTCTTTTTAACCCATCTTCCATTTTGCCAACTGGTGTTTTTGCCTCTCATGGTCTCTAGATGGCTGCCATAGCTCCAGACATCACATCCTAACCTGCAAAGCCTTATCTCCCAGCAGCTTCCCTTCCTGGCTAGAAATCGGACACAGGTCCATACCCAAGGCAATCCCTGGCAAAAGGAGTGGAGTATTTGGGGTAAACAGTCAAGAATTGATACCTTGAGCTGGGGAGAGGCCCATCCTCCCCAACCCCATCTTGACTTGAATAGAGGGATTTTAATGGAAAAGAAGAATGGAGATGGCTCTTTCTATTTAAATAAATGCTCTATGGCAGAATCCCAGGGCATCGTGGGAGTATTATTTATGGAGCCTGTATTAGTTGGCTCCAGCTGCCATAAGAAAGTAGTACAGACTGGGTGGCTTAAACAACAGAAATTTATTTTCTTACAATTTTGGAGGCTGGAAGTCCAAGATGAAGCAGGTTTGATTTCTTCTGAGGCCTCTCTCCTTAGCTGGTAGATGACCACCTTCTCTGTGTCCTTCCAGGGTGCCTTTGTGTGTCTGTGTCCTAATCTCCCCTTCTTATAAGGATACCAATCATGTTGGATAACAGCCCACCCATTTAATCTCATTTAACCTTAATTACTTCTATAAAAGGTCTATTTCCAAATACAGTTACATGCTGAGAGGTCCTGGGAGTTAAGACTCAAATTAATTTGGGGGAGCGTGGTTCCGCCCATAACAGAGCACCTCTTCTCCATGCAGTTTCCGTGCTGGACACTGGGAAGCCAGCACTGGTCAGCCAGAAAGGTCCCAGACCTCTCACTGAGCACCCACTGAGGTCCAGAGGACTCAGAAATGCATGATGGGGAGGCTGGCTCTGGTCTGGGTCTCACAGAGCCTGAGAAGCCAACTGGCCTAGATCTGAAGGGTGGAGGATGGAACAGATAATAAGAGGGTAAAGGGGGTTCCAGGCAGTGGGAACAGCAAGAGCAGATACCCTGAGACCAAGGAAGAGCTGCAGCCTTCCCATTCCCCCCACCAAGAAGCACCTTCTATTTAAGCCTTGGCCTGCTGTTATTACAGTTGCAAAACATTGAACCTAATTTCGTTTATAATTCTGCTCTGTCCTTTTCTATGCTATAAATTTGTAACATCTCAGACTTGCCGCTTTCCTTCTCGGAATGATTAGAATTACAGTTCGTCTTGAAATTATAGGTCCTTCTGACTGCTAAGGGAATTTGCCTGGGCAAGATGAGGAGAAACTGTGCCCCCTTTCCTTATAACTGGCGCCAGGAGGAAACCAGTGGGCACCCTAAAGCTGTAACTCGCAAGTATTATTATTTCTAGATGCTTTAGGACTTAAATGTCCATCATGTATTCAACATAAAATACTGACAACTGATAAACAATAGGGGAAAGACTCTTCAGCAAGGATCTTCCAGAACTCACAGCATCACTCTGATCAAACACTACAACGAGAACTGTCAAATGAACAAACGATAAGGGAGTTTAACAGATTTTTAGCTTACTGGCATAACTAAAATATAAAGAACCAACCAACCAACCTTCTCTTTTAGTCACTGAAAGGAAAATAAAAGTAAATTGGGGAACTTCTAAGTCTTATGGAGCAGCTTAAAAAGGGAGGAGGAAGGGAAGAGACAGCTGTTGAAAATATGGTGCTATAATGCACAAGGTCAAGGATTCTAACAAATTCTGAGTCTCTACATATACCACTGAGAACCACATTATTAGAAATATAAATGCACAAAGATATAAACTATTTGTTATTAAAAACAGACCTAACTAAATAAACATATAGTATGTCCCTTTTATCTCTTTATGAGAATAATGGTATAAAGAAAGATCTCTAGTTTGCCCTTCATCCTGGAACTGCTAAACACTACAGATCAATGTTGACTTGAATTAACAGCTGAGGAACCCAGGAGACCCCCCGATGTCATTTTGGAAAGGATCAAGATTCAGCATCCAGTGGACCCCACCCACCCTCTATGCTGCGTGTTTGCGCATCTCCAAAAACAACTGCACTTTGTATAATTAAGTCCACAGGCAAGTTTGAACACTGAGATCTAGCTAGAAAAAGTAGCAGCTAAGACAACATAAGCTGGAATCGCTAGAAAAACTAAAGGAAGATATTTTATTTTTTTAATTTTTAATTTTTTTTAAAGATTATATTGGGGAATTGGGAAAAGGGGAACAGACAAGTTGCTGTCCTTTTGTTCTTCAGTCTAGTTGTGGAGGACGTCACTTCACTGGCCCATGTTGGTATTGTGATCATTGCACTCTTCCCAGCTGCGGCAGATGGGTCGCCAGCCACTGGATGGCTGCTCACTGCGGCTCTTGGCAGCTCACACTGGCTGCGGGCCGCTCACGCTCATGGTAGCTTATGGCAGCCCACTGCAGCAGGGGCTGCAGTCTACGCCATCGCCAGCGACTCACGGCAGCTCAGCTCCAGGTCGAGCTGCTGTTCACCATCTTAGCTGTAGAGGGCAGTGTCACAGGCCCTCCTGTGGAATCGGAACCGGGGCCCTGCTGCTCAGAGCTGGCATCCTAAGCCAGCTCTTAACCAACTCGCCACTCGGCCGGCCCTAAAGGAAGATATTTTAAATACTTCCAGTTCAAGTCAAAATTAAGTTGTCTGTTAAGTCCCACCAGCTTTGCAGAGCTGTGGATTTTTGCTGTTATTTGAAGTGAGGGGGAGGGAATCTATAATAAGCATGTTTCTTTGAGAAAAATACCATGTTTAAGTTTTTGAAGCCATTGCTAAGTTACTTTAAATGTTGTACATGTTCAAGGGCAAAGTATATATTGGTGAGGATATGTTCATAGCTGATGCATCTCCAAAAAATTCATGAAGGTTGCCAGCTCCTGAACATCCTTGATTGTGATGGCATTATACAGAGAGTCCCGGATGCCTTCCACAGACCTATGCCCTTTCAAGGAGATCATATTGAGCTCAAGAGCTTTATCGAGAAATCTTTTTTTCTAAAGCATGGTCTCCTTTGGCATTGCCAATGCAGAATGGAATATTTTATCTTGCTTCTATTCTGGAGCTCCACTGGACATACATAGAATCCTTGAAAATTATCAATAATATCATAAATCATTTGTGATTTATAAGCTTCTCCAAGGCTGCTGCACCGCCGTTATTCTTAATCCATTCCAGATCCAAGCCCATGATGTAGATGCTGAAGCAGGAAGGTGTGTAGTACAAGGAGCTCTTTCCGGCTTGCACTTTGTACTCCAAGATCGAGGGGCACTCTCTGAGGGCAAACCCTAGCAGGTCTCATCGTGGATGATTACCACTGCGACGCCTGCAGAGCCAGTGTTCTTCTGTGCACCAGCAAAACTCACACCGAACTTGGAAATGTCCACTGGTTTGGATAGGAAGTTTGAGGACATGTTGCAAACCAGCACTGCTCCCTTGACATCAGGGGTAAAGTCAAACTCCATGCCATGCACAGTCTCGTTGGTGCAATAATACACATAGGAGTTGTCCCGGCTGAGTCTAGGCACTTGGGTCCAGAATTTTCGTGTAACTCCCAAGTTTAGGATGAATGATATTCACTGTTCCAAACATCTTGGCTTCTTCTGCTGCTTTAGCTGACCAAGCTCCTGTCACCACATAGTTGGCATACCTTCCTGCTTTCAGGTTTAAGGGGACAGCACTGAACTGGCCAGACACACCTCCTTGCACAAAAATCACCTTGTGGTTGTCTGGAACCGCTAGCAATCCCCGCACAAGATTATCTGTGTTGTTAAGAATCTTAGGAAAATCTGATGACCTGTGGCTCATTTCAAAAACACTAATCCCAACACCTTTGTAATCTAATAATTCATTTAGGATCTCTAACAATACCGACCACGACAGCTTGGTGGGCCCTGGTCCAAAGCTGACCACCTGCCTCCGGGTGTCCATGGTGCGAGGCTGTGGACCGCAAGTCAACCAGAAAGCTGCAAATGTTACTTTTAACAAAAGTCTTTGGATCCCTAGCTACTCAAAGTGGGGTCCCCAGACCAGCAGCATCAAGTTCACCTCAGGGCCCCAGAGCAGATATGTGAAGGTTCCCAGGGTCTGGTCTAAAATGAGGTTGACAACAACCTGTGCTTCTTGAAGTTTTCAAACAATCACTCCTGCTCTCCTTAGGACAGCCCTGTGGGTCAGTCCTCTGAATTCCTCTCATTCATCCCCCTATGCCCATCTTCCTCTTCCTGTCCCAAAGTCCTCACTGGTGCTCCTCACCTCCAGCCTCTCCCTACTCAGTCCTACTTGTAAGTGGCAGGCAAGTGTCAGTCTGGTGGATAGTCCCCTGTGTAAACCTGGCCTTCATCATCAGGTCAAAATTGCCTTTGCCTGGAGTTCAAGGCCTTTCATGATCTGACCCCAGTTCCTACACTCTGTTCCAGGCTCGCGACTAGAACCTGAAATCTCCAGGCCTCCTGTTGGAAATGTCCTTCCCCCACAGCTTGGTCATCTGCCTGGAGAGCCTTCCAAGGCTTCTGTCACTTTTCTTCTTTGAATGCCTACTTATCCTTGTTATAGAAACACAGAATGTAACATCATCAACAATGATAATGGATGACATCGACATTTATTAAGTGTTAATTATGTACCAAGCGCTTTCCAAGCACTTTATTTGACATCCCTATCATTAGGAGGAAGAGTCTAGGATGCCTCTCCTTAAGTATGAGCTGGCTTTAGCTACTCACCTTAGTGACTAGAAAGCAGGTGACACTATGTGACTTCCAAGACTAGGTCGTCAAAGGTGAGACAACTGTCAACTGGTTCTCTTTCTTGGGACACTTGCCCTGGGAATCCAGCCACCATACTGTGAGGAAGCTCAAGCCACAGGGAGAGACCATGTGTAGCTATTCTGACCGATAGCCCCAGCTGAAGTTCAAGGCAAAAGGCAGCACGAACCACCAGATAGATGTGTGTGTGAGGAAGCCATTAAAGCAACTCCAGCCCCAGCCTCTGTCTGCAACTGCATAAGACACCTTGAGCAAAAACCCAGATGAGCCCAGGGAAACCACAGAACCATGAAGGCTAATAATGATTGTTTTACATCATTGCATTTGAAGTTATTACACAGCACTGCATAACCAGAACAACTTGCATGAACTAATTTAATTCTCCCAACAACCCTAGGAGAGGAACAATTACAATCCCCATTTTACAGATGAAGAAACTGAGACTCAGAGGACTGGGCAACATGCCCAAAGTTACAGAATGAGTAAATGGTAGAACTGGGATGTGAACCCAGGTGGATGTGCTACAGAATCAGGGTCCTAACCACCAGTCTCCAAAGTCAATATATTTCCATTCCCTGGCCAATACCTCTCCCCCTTCTGGTTCCAGCACCTGACTTTTCTTCGGGGGGACCACCCCTCCCCCATCCTCAGTCGCTGTTGTTCAGATGCAACTGACACCACCATGGGTCTTCAGGCAAAAGCCCATAACCCAGATCAGGCAAGTGAGAGCACAGTATCCCCCTGGGCACAATTGGTTCGGTGATGGGCTCATGATGAGGCTGGATCAGCGAGAGTCAGCCCTGGAACCTTTGCTGGTTTGACAGAGAAATAGGCCCATTTACCCACTGGAATCATGGAATTTCTGGTCCATCTTTGCTACTGCGAGGAAAAAAATGATATAGATTCCCAGCATCATTTAAGCACCTAGATACAGTTATTCCTGAAGCTTAGCATTGTCTTGGCTAAAGGCACTTTGAGCTGAACTTGTCTTTTTTTTTAGCTGAGCCATCCTGCCATCTGTTGGCAGCTCAGCAGCAGCTCAGCTCGGGCAGGACATCGAACCACTGTTGCTCAGAGCTCACACTCTTGAGTAAGCTCTTAACCAACTGAGCCACTCGGCCTGCCTCTGAACTTGTCTCTTGCAGCCAAAAGACATCTGGTTGCTACTCTCCAGTGACATACTTCTCTTATGTCATTCCATTTTCCCTGAGGTCAGGGAATGAACTTGATCTATTATAGCACAATGCCTTGATATAGGAGGCATCCATCAATCTTGCTCTATTGAACAAAAAGGGACCTTGCTCTGTTTTCCAGGTAAAGAAACCCAGGCTCTTCTACAGCCTGTGGATGAGGAGGACTAGGATTAGTGATTACAACTCAAATCCTGAATCTGAGTCCAGTCCTTTGCTGTAGGGCTAGTACTGGGATTTGGGAGAATGGGGAGGATGAAGGGGACATCTATACAAGTCTTCCTGGTGGCATACAGTGAGAGAACATAACTTCTGCCCTTGTCAGCCCTTCTTCTGACCCCAACCCCCATTTCTGACACCTGAATATTCCATGTTACTGAGACAAGTGCTCCAGGATATAGGCCATTCGTCATTTATACGCTAGTGTGAATCAGTCGCTAACTCTAGGACCTGAGGATCAGATATGAGACACCTATCACTTTCTGGCAATTATCCTTCCCACCTGTTTCCCCAGTAAGCAGCCACTTGTGCTCTAGCTGGCAACTTTATTCAGGCGGAGAGGAAATGAGTTTGCATTGGATTATTGCTCGAATAATCTGAAGAGGGGCGAGTCTCTGGAGCCTCAGGGAGGAGGGACAGGGGGCTCTAGAAACTAGAAGGCAGAAAGGGAGAGGGGTGGAGCTCTGGGTGTCTTGAGGGGCAGGGGGAAGGATGGGGGCAAAGCGACGCATTTCCCATCCAAGGCCAGGCGCCCCCTAGGGGACGCTGCCGCTTCCACTGCCACTCCCGCTGCCCGCAGTGTCCAGGATCCAGGTGCGAGGGCGGCGGGAGTGCGGGAAGGTGGTTTCCCGGGACTTCCGTCCGTGTCTGGGATGCGGACGCACCGAAATGGAAATGTTGAGGCAGTGACCAGGCCCAGGAACTGCCATCGGCAGCGCGTAGCCCAGAACCGAGCGGCAAAGGTCCACCCCGTCAGTGAAGGTCTGGGAGAAGGGGTGGAGTAAGGGCCCAAGTGGGCGGAGTGCAGACACCATGGGGGTGTGGTAGTGTGGGGCAGGCGGAGGGCGTGTTGTGGATCGCGGCCTTCAGAAGGGAAAGGCCGGGAGGGAGTTCCATTGAGAGTAGGGATCTGGGCGGTGGCGGGGGCGAGGTCTTGAGGTGGGCAATTCCCACCTCTGGGTGCTCCCAGGATTCTAGAGGAGGGGTCATAGTAGGGGCGGGGACTTGGGGAAGGAGAGTAGTTTCTACTGGGAGGCCAGATTAAGGCTGGGTCTTGGGGAAGGCGACTCAGGCCTCTGGGTCTTCCAGGGGGGAACTGTGGATGGGCCTACAATAGGGACAGTCTCTTCGGGAGGACAAATTGAGATTCAGTGGGCCTTAGGGAGGCTACCGGCATATGTAATCCACTATGGAAGTAGGGCTGCAGAAAGGCGAAGGGTCTTGGAAGTGGGGGTCTTGGGAGTGAGTGCCAGTCCAGACTCTGGGGCTTAGGCAGGTTAAGACAGCACATAGTAAGGGGAGGTCTCAGCCTCTTCCCCACAACCTCTGTCCCATGCTTACCTGCCCGTAGGTACTGCAGCCAGGGTCACAGTCCCTTTTTTCAAGGAGTGGAAGCCAAGTTGGGCCACAGGTGATATCGTTTTTGCAGGTGGCAAACCTGGGGTTGGTAGAGAAGAAGGTGGGTGAGGGCTTTGTAGTCCTGTTCCAGTGGAATTCCAGCTCTCCAAGGATCCATCCCGTGTCTGTCCCTCCCCCAGATCCATGTCCCTCCTCTTAGGACCACGCCCCTACAAACACCATCCACCAGATTTCACCCTGCCCGATATTCTCCACATATACCCAGGGCCCTGTTGCAGCTGGCCTCAAACCATCTATTCCAGGCCAGCCCCTTACACTCCCAACCCTTTTTGCTTCTCTTTTCTTTCTTCTTTCTAAAGATTTTATTTGGGAATTGGGGGAGGGGAACAGCGCTGGGAAATCAGGGGAAGGAGAACAGATATGTTGCTGTCCTTTTGTTCTTCATTCTAGTTGGGGAGGATGTGGCTTCACTGGCCCATGTTGGTAATATCATTGCGTTCTTCCCGGCTGAGGCAGATTGGTCGCAGGCTACTGGACGGCTGCTCACTGCGGCTCTTGGCAGCTCACACCGGCTGCCGGCGTCTCACAGTAGCTTATGGCAGCCCACTGCAGCAGGGGCTGCAGCCTACGCCATTGCCGCCGTAGACTCAGGGCAGCCCAGCTGTAGGTTGAGCTGTTGTTCACCATCTTAGCTGTAGAGGGGGCAGCGTCACTGGCCCTCCTGTGGGATCTGAACTGGGGAGCTGCTGCTCAGAGCTGGCGTCCCAAGTCAGCTCTTAACCAATGCACCACTCTGTCAGCTCGCTTCTCTTTTCAATCTAGAGGCCCAGCTCCTTTTAAAAAGGCGTGGAAGGCCATGCCTCTGTACTGGAGGCTTCCACAGGCCCTGCCCCTTTTGAGGAGCTTCTAAACACTAGGCCTCAGCCTTTAGGCCTTGCCCGCGTTGGAGGCAAGTCACGCCCCTTCAAACACTAAGAGCGCCAAGCCGCAGATCCCGCCTTGGGCCCCGCCTAAACCATAAGCCACGCCCCTCACACCCCACCACTCCTACCAGGCATCGCAGAGCTCCCCGCAGAGCGGCTGTGTCTGGCGTATACCCAATAGCAGGAAGTGGAAGCGACCTCGGAGGGCAACTTGGAGGTGTCCCAGGAAGGATTCGCACCTGGATATCAGGAGGGACCAGCCAGGTTGGGTCAAGATGCGCAGAGGCTCTGGCCCCTGGCTGGGGAAACAAGTAAAGAGCACAAGGAAACGCTGGAGGTGGGGGGTGCTGTACTCACCCAGGGCTCGGCTTCCCACAGCGTTCTGGAAGGATTCCAGGGTCCGATGCCTCTGGTGTGTCTATCTCTGTGGGACAACACGGCCATGGAGAAAGAAACTCCTTTGAGTTGGGGTCCTGAATCCTCAGGTAAGGTTGGGGAACCAAGACCTGGGGGTCCCCTGAATAGAGGAAACCCCAGTTATATCAACTCTGAGACACTTCGCTTGAAATACAAATGCAGCTTCAAGTAATAATAATCATTTATCATAATTAGATAATTATTTTTTTGTCCCTGGTAGTGGTATAACTTCTCAAATGCTTGCATGCACTCCTTTACAACATCCCTATGAGGTAGGTTTATTATTTCTCCCCCCTTTTTAATGGTCCACATGAGACTCGGAGAGTTTAAGTGACTTGCCCAGGGTCACACAGCTACAAAATGGCAGAGTTGGGATTTGAACCCAGGCAGTCTGACTTTAGAGTCTATTCTCTTTAACCATCATTCTTCAGCACTAGCCCAGGCTGTTCTAAGCCCCTGTCATAAGGAAATTCTGACAGTGCTATGGTGGAGTGGTGGTTCCTGGGTGTTTTGGGTTAGTCAGGGTCTGGAATACTCACCTACCAGGTGCAGCTGGCCTGTGCCCAGATTGGCCCCAAGGCTATAGTGTCTCTGGGACTGAAGTGGGTGTGGGCAGCTCCCTCCATAGGCTGCTAGCAGGATCCATGCCAGGGTCAGTTGCAGGGCCCAAGCCAGGCTCCTGGGTTGAGTGAGGCCCCTGCAGGCCATATCCACCTAAGATATGAGTCAGCTGGGGTATGGCGTAAGGTTCAGCTGTCCTTTTCTTTGAGCTCAGGGTAGTACTCTCTTGATGCACACCCAGGAGACAGTGCCAGCGGAGCAGAGAATGGGCAGTTGATGAGGAGGCAATGGCCAAAGACCTTCAAATCCCAGGGGGCCACCAAGGCCTGTCTCTGACCTAGGAGCCCCTCCATCAGACTCTTGTACCCTCTATCTCTTCAGGCCCAGGTGCCCCCCACCCAGTTTGGCCATGGTACTGTTCTTCCCTCACACCCATCAGGATCTCCCACTCAGTCAACCCTTAGGCAACCCCCTCCATCCTCAGAGCTAAGGGGATGTCCCCAACTCTTTCAGTGTCCCTTTTCTGTCCAGTAATTCCTTCCTATCTTCTGCTCAGTCTCCTCCCTTCCTCTTGATCCTTGCTGGCCCCTCTCACGGTCACCTTCTCTCAGCCTACAATCGGCTTAGGGACTGCCACCCAGGGCCGGGCCTTTGGAGCCAAGCTTGGTTGTGTCAGGACCCGAGTTCAGCTGCTGGAGTCCAAAACCCCCAGGGCAGAGGAAACTGGGAGTTTGTAGAGACAAGACAATTCTCTCCCCTCCTCTGCCCCCTTGGGCCACCGCTTACCTGTCAGCAGGACTGGGGTCTAGGGCGCTGCTGAGACACCTCAGGGTTAAGTCCAGGAAACGGTGGCAGCTGAAGAGGGTGTGGTTTGATGCAGGGGAGGGGTTTCCCTCCACTCCACCCCCTGCTCCAGCAGACCAAAGCCTAGAGGACTTGGCACCTGTGTGTATACATTATCGTGTCTGCCTTTATGTTGAGGTTATGGATCTATATGTGTGGGGTGTGTGTCGAATGAGGGTGTGTTTGTGTGGCTGTGTGTGTGTATGTATATGCAGTTTATATGTGTCTCTTGGTTGTGTGGTTGTGTGTGTGTGTTCAAAATCTGGATAAGGAGAACTGTATGTGTCCCAAGCCAAGTGTGTCCAGTTGAGTAAGAGTAAGATAATGCATGTAGGGGAGGAGATGTAGGATCAGGATGGGATGGGTATCCTGCGAAAATGTTGGATCAGTGGATAAAGTGAATGGATAAAGGTTGACCATGAATGTTAAGCATGAGTGAACAAGGGGGTGTTGTAATGTGTGGAGAGGGTGTGTCTGCATCTGAAATGTGTAGGTGTGTGTGTGTGTGTGTTCCTCTGTAGTTTCTGGGAATGTGTCCACTGGGAATACTACGTCAATTCATTCATTCACCATTTATTGAGCACTTGCTGTGTGTCAGATTCCAGGGATGCAGTAGTGATCAAGACATGAAAATCTCAATCCTCATAGAGCTGACATTCTAGTGGGAGAGTCCGATGAGAAAAACAGTCCTGCAGTTGGTATATACGAGTGTATCCATGTGTTGTTTTGGAAGGATAATGTGTCTGTATGTTGGATGAGAGTTTGTCTATGTGTAGCTGAGTTTCCTTTGGCTTTAGGACTATATGTGAGTGCTTGTGTTTTTGAGTGTTTGTATGTGTTGTGTGTGTGTGCACTTGCTGAGTGTGTATATGTCTGCATTTTCTGAGTATGTGTTTGCAGAGTGTGAATTTATGACTATATATGTTTGTGTGTATATGTGTGTTTGTTGAGTATGTGTTTTATGTGTATGTATTTGTGGAGTATGTGGATATGAGTATATGAATCTGTTTGTTGAATGTGTGTTGGTATGTTCATGTTTGTGTGTATGTTTGCAGAGTGTATGTGTATGTGTGTGTGCACCTGTGCTCATATGTGGGCATATGTGTTTATGTGAGTGATGACCACTACCACAAATCTCTTTCCCTTCCTTTTGAGGCTAGTGCAGAATTTTTGTCTGTCTGCTTTACTGCTGTACTTTTAGATCCCATTACACTAATTTGCACACAGTAGGTTCTCAATACAAGTCGAGTAATGAACAAATCAGGAGGCACTGTCTCTGGGCCCCCCTGTGGACACCCATTGATGTCCTGGAGGCATCAGCAACCAAGACCTAGTGGACCTAGCCTTCCCCCAGCACATTTGGGGTAGTCCAGGGTGCTCGTAGGTCAGACATGTCCAGCCTCTGGGCTGTGCCTCTGACCATCCTTTCACCCCTCTGACCTCAGCCCCCATCCCTACGCACGGATTTCAGTACTGCGGACAGGAATGCACAAGATCAGCACCACGGAGAGCTCCCGGGGCCGCCTGCGGGCGGGGGGCGGGGGTGCGGGGAGGGAAATGGCCCACACCAGCGGCGTCAGGGCCTTGGACAGAGAAGTGTGAGGAACGGACTCAAGGAGACGGCAACACAAACATGCCGACCAACAGAGACAGAGAGACACAGACAGATAACACAGGCAAAAAGCAGAGATGAGACAAGCGCCCGAGGAACACCGGGGTATAGACCTCTGTGTCACCCTGGTTGGCAAGCAGGTGTCATGCCTGTCCAGTGACCGCACCCTCCAGGGCCCTCGGGCCACTTGTAGGCCGGAACCCTTGTGCAGCGCCCTCCGCCCCGCAATGCCTAGACTTGGAGTGGTGAGATAGATCTCCGACGCTTTCCACTCCAACGCTGGGAAGCATGGTCGGTTTGGCCTCAGCGGTAGGAACACCGCCGGAGGATGGGGTGTTGAAAATCGCTTCAGCTGCCCCCCCTCCCCAAAGACAAGCTAATCGCTCCTATAAATACAGCCCGGCCTGGCCTGGCTTCCTAATCCTGACGATGAAGGAGGGGGGTCACCAGAGGGGCTGCAAGGTTCCCTGAAGAGGGAGAGAGGGCGGTGTATGAATGTAAATATTTTTCTGAGGGGGCATTTCCCGTGACGATGGGTCTCCTCGGTGAAAATGACACTCTAATAATGGGATGTGGGGGTTTCATGGGTGGGGATAATTTGCCACAGAGAGCACGGCTTTTAGGGGATCTTTCATTGGGGGTATCCTCACCAGGCTCCCCACGTGAAATGTCACCCTTGGGGATTTTTCTCTGCAGAAATGTCTCTTCCTGGGGGAGGGGGCTTTTGAGAGGAGGCGTCATCTCTCTGAGACCATCTGTTTTAGCAATGATTTTCAGAGTGAGGGGAGAGTTCCTGAATGAAGAACGCTTCCCTGTGGAGACTGTGTCCCCGTGGGAATGTGTCTCCCTGATGGGGTCGCTGGGGGGGGGAGGGGTGTGGTCGCATAGGAAATACATGTCAGTGAGAATCTCTCGGGGTGTTTCTTGGGTTGGGGCGTCTCTCTTCTGAGATGTCTCTCCTTATAGGGGTCTTTAGGTAGCTTGGCTCTCTCGGGGTTATCTGGAGGCTTCTGTCCCCGCCT